CTGTGTCCCCCTTCCCCATCATCCCAGCCGTGGTCACAACGCCACACACCGCGGTGCACTGCGGGCGGACAGCCGATGGGCGCCGCGCCGCAGCCATGAACCCATGACGCGCCGCCTGCTCCTCGCCGTGAACGTCGTCGCCGTCCTTTGCCTGGGGCTAGGCTCCGTCCAGCTGCCACGGTGAGCTGCTCGCCTCACTTCAATGATGCGACGAATATGTCGAGGGTGTTGAACGCTCTGTGCACCGCGGCCGCAGGTACCGCTACCTAGGGGCGCCCCTGCGCGAGCTCGTCCTGCGCTACTTCGACGCCGATACGCTCCTGGTTGTGTCGCTGGGGCGGCCCAATGCCGAGCCCGACGTCAACGGCATCTTTGTGGGTGACTCAGACGCAGAGCACCTCGAGTTCGGGCACTACAAAGTCCGCCCCTCGGTTGATGCGGTGCTGGACGCCGTCAGCGTCGACTCCCGGCCCGTGGTGGTGCTGGCCGACATGCCCGAGGAGGTCCCCCAGCACGCGGCCGCCTACCTGGGCTCGCGCGCCCACGGCTTTCTGCTCATGGCGCTGGGGGAGGCTCCATTCGACGGCGTCCGCGAAAGGCTCACCATGCTGAGGCACCTGCCCTGGTGGAACAGCACGGCGCGCTTTTTGGTGGTGACCGTGGCTCCCCATCCCGACCTCATCCTACTCGAGATGCACGACGAGTTTATCGAGGACGTTGCGCTGCTGATACCAGGACAGGTGCCGGGCGGCGACGGTGCCGAGGTACTCGCCTCGGCCTACGGGTGCGGTTCGCGTCTGACGGCGGTGCGACGGGTGTCGCGGTGGCAGGGCGGTCGCTTCGACGGCGGTAACCCCTTCCCCCCGAGGACGCCGTCGTGGAGCATGCGCTGCCGGCCGGTGGTTCGGGCCTCCGTCAACACCAATGAGTCGTACTTCGCCGAGTACATCGCCCACGAGGTGATCCGCTCCCTACCCGGCGAGATCGTCCCGGACGTATTTCCCTCCAGATCAATATTTAACACCATGCTCCCCAACGGCACCTGGGGTGGGCTGCTCGGACACGTGCAGAGGCGGGAGGCGGACATGGGCCTCTTCCTAATGCCTAACAGTGAGCGTATGTGGGTGAGTCCCTATTTTATGCATTTCAATTAGGGAACAACAACAACCTGCTCAAATTGATTTATCGCACTGGCACTGCTCTATCCGCAGCACTTCCGCCAGTCCCTGATGGTGACGTCCACGCAAGTGTACGCGTACGTACGCTGCTCTTCCAATGCGCCCGCGGCCCCACGCCCCGGTCTGCTCCACCTGTTCAGCCACCGCTCGCTTGTCGAGCTCATGGTGGCCGTCTTTCTGGCGTACTTCGCGTGTGCGGCGCTGGGCCGCTGGCTCAACGAGCACCCCTGGCACCCGGCACGCGCCCCCACCGCCTCCTACAGCAGGGGGTTCTTCGAGGTGAGCGGGATGCATGTGCCCGGGATGTTCAGAGAGCAAGTGGTTGTAAACACCAGGCGCTCCGCCCGCAGATCTACGCCATCCTCATCGAGCAGCCGATAGAGCCGCGCTTCCCGGCGCAGCGCCCCGTGTTCGGCCTCATGCTCGTCTTCGTCATGGTGCTGAACGTGTTCCTCAAGTCGGTCATCACCGCGGACCTGACGCGGTCGCCGTGGGCGGGCCAGGTGCGCACCCTCGTCGAGTTGAGCCGGCGCGGCACCGACCTGGGGGTTGTGGCGCCCATCGTGCTGGCCAACGTACGCAGAGCCGCCGATGAACTGCCGGAGCTTCGGAACCTGGCGCAGCGCTCGCACCTCTGCACCTTCAACATAAGCGACTGCTTCCATCGCCTCAAGGTCAGGCCAGGTCCTCACGGCGGCGCCCTGCCCTCCCCCGGCTGACCGTTACTGACCGCCCCACCCTCTAGTCTGAACGCAGTGCGTCGTACGCCATGGCCGGCTCACAGCTCTCCCCCTGGCGCAAGATGCTCGTCCAGACCAAGACGTGCGCCTACCGGGTGCCCGAGGTGCTCGAAACAGCGCAGGTAGGCTCGGCCGAGACGCTAGCAGTATTTATTATTATTTCTCATAAATCAGTTCACACTGCCGGTAAACTGTTGCTCTCGGCGTACTGTAAACGGCGGACTCTGCCATATATAATAGACAGCGGAGGAGGAATATTTTCCCCTCGGTGAGACGAAGCAGAGAGGAGTGGGGATGGAGGACACACGCCGGGTGCTGGCTCGTAACAGTTATTTCTTCTTTCTCCATGTCACTCTCGTTGACCTGCATCCTACGCACTCGTGCTTGCAGTTAATGATCTACACCCGCAAGGACGACCCCCTAGGAGAAATGGTGGACGACGTCATCCAGCGGCTCCAGAACGGCGGCCTGCCCAGGTACTGGCTCAACATGATGCACCCCAAGGGCCAGTACACGAACTCGGGCCGGCGGGGCCGCGGGTCGGACTCCGAGGACAGCGAAGACGGGCAGATAGCCATGGCGGCCGCGGTGCTCGGCTTCGGTCACCTGCTCGCCGCCCTCGTCTTCCTCGCCGAGCTCATGGCGGCAGGCGTCCCCTGGCCGCGTCGCTGGAAGGGCCGCGGCCGCGGCGTGGGCCGCGGTGTGGGCCGCGACGTCGTGGACGTCACCCCCGCGCGGCGGCGGCCGCGGCGGCACCCACCTCGTCGTGCCCCGGGTGCCCAAGGCCTCGCGGCCCGGGCGCGCCCGCCGCCACCAGGTGCACGACTGCAGATTGGGCGCCCAATGATTGATGGCTTCCTCCTCGCAATCTCGGACAAAGCGGTCGAAAGTTGGACGCTGCAATGCCGGTGACTTCATTTTCCACGGCTCTCTAGAATATCGTAATTACATTACGACGGGACAGGTCGTCGCGCGTCGCGGCCTTGGGCCCCAAACCTGTAAAATAATCGCTAACCGACGGAGCCTGAAGTTTGCCAACTAATGTTTTTGATGTGTCCATTAAAAATGAACCGGAAACAAAACGGGCTATGTCATTCATGTCAACCCCCATCTACTAAAATCAATAAGTGGGTGATTAATTTCTCTTACCAGTAGACAGTCTGCCATGGCTTTTCCCTCTCCCGAATTTGCAATCGATAATCGGGACGGTCGTCAGTGTCTCTGGAACAGAAGTACAATATGTATTATAAGCACACGTGGCCCAGCCTCGCTGATCACGACCTTTCTTCCCAAATCTCCTGGGCCGGGCTACATCGGCATGTCGACCCATGACTAACGCGGCGTGGTCCTCGAGCGGCACGGGCACGGGACGGCACGACGGAGTTCGCGGCTAACATGCCGGTTAGCCAACCCGACCCGCGGACGCGACACCACAAACTGATGAAGCAGTTTTTCTGATGTGGGCGGGGCGTTTCTTCGACAGGCAAGCGTGCCGGGCGCCGTCAGGTCCCCGGGCAGACCTCGGGCGCACATCAAGGGCCCTCAAGAGACCGGGCACATGAAAAGTTATTCGCTTAGTTTTGAACTATCTTGAAAACAATCACAAGTCGAAGTTGAGCGGCCAGGGCGGCGACCCGACTGACTTATGGGGTAACGCCACTTGAACGCTTTTCTGAATCAGTCGCCCCTACCACCGCTCTCTGTATCCGTTTTGTTCTTCTTAGTTCCGCTCCGCGCTCTAGCGAATTACTCTATGGATCTATGATAATTTTAACCTTAAAAATGATCAAAAATCAAAAATATAGTTCAGTGGAGTTCAAGTGATCGCAGGTTGATAACGTGGTTAGGTTATAGCTCGAGTTCGAGTGTGGTGTAGTGGCTTTTCAAAACGGAAGGTTGACTCTTTTTTATTACTGGTCAACTAGTTAACTTTTGACCTTTTTATGAAGTATTCTCACTTTACATGTGTTGGACGTTACAATGAGACTGGCGCAGTCAATAACCTGCTTTACTTTCACTACCTGTTGGTGGCGACTGCAACCTTCGCCGCTAACCTAAAAAGTGCAACGTGTTCTGCATTCATCCGGGGGCGCTGGCACTACCATCTTATGGTGAGTACCAACGGCCACTGTCTGTACAGACAGTTTATATGCCGCATGTGTGTTGGGCATGGATTAAATTTTAGATTTTTCATCGAGAGCACTTCGACGCGTGCCTAGAGGTAATGACGTACTCACAGAATGCTCCCCTGCGACTCAATGGACAGCGCGGGCCTGTGCGTCTGCCCCGAGTGGGGCCTCGGCGAGGGGCCCTTGCTGTGGCCGGACAACGGCCTGGGCGTGGGGCCCTGCCCGGACGCCTGTCCGGACAGTGGCCCCGACGGCCCCGAGTCCTGCGACGCCGTGGACGTCATGCGCCCCGGCCCGCACCTGTGCACCCCGAGTGCAGCGGGGCCCCAGGCCAGGGTCACCGAGCTCCTCGTCGTGGACACCAGCTCCAGGCTCGGGGCCGGCGGCTGCGTGTCGTCGGCGCCGCCCACCGCCGCGGTGGCGGCGGGCTCGACCATCTCGACCACCCCCGGGACCAACGCCATGGCGCACTGGGGCCCGGACGACGGGGTGGGCAGCTTGACGAGGCCCTAGAGGCGCGCGACGCCCGGCAACACCATTGATCTAGCGGAGGCCCCCGTCGTCAAGGAGGGCGAGGGTGCGGTGGGGGGCGGGGCGCCGTCGGGCCGTGCGCGGGTGCGCGGCGGTGCGTGCCGGGGCCCCATGCCGTCCATCAGCAGCTGAGCCGCAGTTCGGCGCGGGCGAGGCGTGACTTTGGCCACTAAATAACCTGTGGCATCGCTTCGCCTCGCCTCGTCGGCCATCAGTGACCGATCAATCAAGCCATCGCGGCCCCAACCCTTTTAGCCGCTGCCGCGGTCACCGGTCACACGGCGACCCGCGCCGCCGCGCTGCTCTCAGCGGGCCGGGGGCAGCCCTCTTAGAGAACGGCCTGCCCGCGGCCGATCATCGGTAATGATCCTATTAGCGTTGGCCACCCGTCACCGCAAGCGAGGGGGAGGCTAGGCGGGGATCGGAAGCTTATTTGCATCCGATCGTCGCCCAAACGATCACCTGCCCCCGACTGGTCTTGCGTAACAACAACATTCACGGCTTTTGGACGCTGCTACTGCTCCTCTGGCGACACGAAGTACCCCCGCGGCACTTTTCCCGAGCGAGGGGGTGCCCGGCGCAGGGAGGGTGGCGGGGCGGGGCGGGGCGGGGGTCGCCGGGGTGCTGGTTCCCACTGCGGCTGAGCCGTCCGTGATTTACTCGATCCCCGCCCGGCGAATCAAAGGCCACCTATCGAGCCCATAAATACTGCAGTCATACGGCGGCTCCCTGCCACCCGCCACCCGCCGCCGTCTTTCTCCTACGCTGTTGCAATCTTTTCGGGCTTTTTAAAATCCCCTCCCGCGTGTTCTGTTCTGTTTTCTTTTTATGATCGTTTATCTTTCAAAATATTCGTCGGTGGCCGCGGCGCGACCACCGACTCATCGTTTTCTAAATCGCCGAAATTTGTTTAGCTTCTCCAATGGCCCCACCACAAAGTTGCGCAAACAAATAGGTATCCGACATTCGACAGTGTTGTTGGCTCGTCCCCACACACGTGCAGCAAGATCTCTGCCAAGTTTCGAGATTTACGGCGCGCCTTTTCAAATCAAGACTGTTTCACGTACTCGCGTATTTGTAGATGTTTGCAGGCGCCGCGCTGCCGCCGCCGCCGCGCCACCCACCCGCAGTAGTGCGGCCGCTGCACGCACACAATCCTGACACAATTGAGTCGTGTCATAATTTCTTCCGCCTGCGGACGCCCCGGGACGAGACGCCCCGCCGACGCCCCCCACCACCACCACCCGGCGGCCCTTCGGGAAGGTCAGGGCGCTGCAGCAGCACGTTTGCCGCTCAAACAGCGCGCGCGTACGGCGGCCCGCACGTGGTGCGAACACCGTCATGTCGCGCGATTAGACCGCCATTTCCACGAGGAAGTCACGTTATTTGCAATTGTCATCACCATTAGCGCAGCCGCCGCACTACTGCTGCACCGCAGGGCTCTGGCCGCCCCGCCCCTCCTCGCTCCGCCCCAGCAGGGGGAAAGCCCACCGCCACCCCGCCCGCGCAATTGGGGCGACAAAGACGGCGCTATATCACGACGACGCGCTTGCGTTGCGGAAACTGTCCGGCCGGCCCCGGCACGGCCGCGAAATAGTTCGTGATTTACACCCTGCTTACGCTTTTGTTTGAAAAAACACACACAGAAAAAAGTCAATACTATGAAAATGTAAGAGGAAAAAAGTGTCGTCGTGTCGTCTCTGACGCCGTGCAGGCTGCTGTGCGTAGAAGATCGTCGATCGTTCAGAAAGTACGTTCGTTTTTCACATACATTCGGCAGATCATGGGAGCTAGGCGCCTGCGAGACTTGGGGTAGACTACCCCGCAGTACACGCATGCCAGTCAGACAAGACGTTGCCTACCCATCAGGCGCTATATGAGCTTGCTGAGGCCGAACCTGGCAGTTTCGTGAACGGCGAATGACAGACGTTTTACCCCACACTGCCAAATATATTTGTAAACCTAGGCGCCGGTGGCAGTGCTGCACACTGGTTTGTGGTACGGTCCTTTTAAAAATTTTACTAGAAAATTCGCCTTAAGTTTTGTACTGTTGTAATTATCAAGAAATTCCATAGTAATACTAACATTTTAGTTGTATTACTATCCGTTTCCCTAGGATTATGTATTACAGTATGTACTAGAAAGACGTTTAGTAATACTTGAGAATTTATTATTAAAACAGCACAAAACTTTAGTAGGTACTAGACACATTTTCTTAGTAAAGAGCTTTGGAGTGCGCCTCCTGCGCCGAAGCTTCCCCTCCGTGCCCCGCCCCGACCTTTCCCACCGGCGAAGCTCCTGGGCGGGCGGTCCTAACCTAGGGTGGGGCCCGCTTCGCCCCGCCCGCCCCGCCCCCGCTTGGAGGGAGAGAGGGAGCAGCAGCAGCACGGGCCCCCCGCCGCTGCAGCTGGAAGCTGGAGAGGCCGGAGCCCCCCAGTCCGCTCGCGCACCTGGAGCGGCACGGTCACGTGACGAGACGAGCCGGCCCGTACGAGACTCCAGAGGCGATCGCACGGCAAAGGGGGCGCGCGAGTGTCGAGTCGCAGAACAGTGCCCGCCCACCGCCGCCGCTTCTTGCGTGTGAAGGGGAAATTAAGAGAACGCTCGTGTGGGAGTCATCGCCGTCGCACCCTTGGGATACCACCGTCAACACCAGCCGGCCCAGACCAGGTAGGTGCTAATTTGATCGTTACATTTTTAAGGGCATTTTTTTGACGGGTGCTGAAAAAGGGGGGGAGGTTGCTGTTCGATGAATAAGGAGTCTTCGTCGGTGTTTCGCTTGGAGCCTGGCTGCGTGTTCCATCATTAGCGACTGGTACACGTGGTTGCCCGTCCCAGCCCAGGCTGTTGCAGCTGGCCAGCACAGCACCGCACCGCACCGCGCGGGCAACCCCGTGAGAACAGAACAGTACTTGACATGCGGCCGCCACTGACCCGCACCGCGACAACCTCGTGTGACGCTAATGTGGCGTGCGGCTCGGCGTTGGCGTAGCCCGTGCAAGCCTTTCACTAATCTTTTTTATTGTGTACGTCTTTACTCACTTTTTAGCTTTTGTTTTTGGCAATGTAGCTCGTTGAATATGCTTCGGGTGGTAGGATGATTATAGCTTTTAAAACTATATGTAATTTGGTTTTTAAGTTCTTGGCAACGTTAATTTTTCATGTTCTGCTAAACATCGTTTGTAAATTTTCTATTTAGACGTTAAAACGGTATTGAATGTCAGTACCCCATGAGATATTGTAACGACGTAGTTTTATCTACGTAGATGCGACGTTTGAGTCCACGTGAATCTACGTATAGTTCGCGTGGACTCGACGTAGAATCTACGTTATTCATAGATTCTGCGTAGATGAGATCTAGATTCTACGTAGAATTTCCCATGGGATATTAACGGAATGGACAGATTTCCTTTCTTTTTTTATCAGTGTGATCTGGGAAAGGTTGTGACCCGACCCGGTGGCCGCAGAGTGTCGAGGCGCGCGGGGCCGCGGACCCTTTTCCTCCTGGTAGTCAGTAGGCGCGCAGGCGACACGTCGTCGCATTTGACGGCCCATCGCGGCGCCGTTAGCCTTCCATGTCGCGCATTCATACATAATAATGGCGGATCGTAAAGTATCGGCGGCCGCGCGCCGTAAAACGTGTGAAATTCGGTGTCCAGAGAGGGACGACGTGCGTCGCCGGGGCGGGCGGGGCGCGGCGGGCGTGTCGTCAGGCCGCTGCAGTCGCGCCGGGCCCGCTGCGGAGCCTGCACGCGCGCGCGCTCCCCCGAAATGCAGTATGGGAATCTGAACCCGCCGCGGGGTCGACTTGCAAAATGGATGGCGTATTGCAGTGGAGGGAGGAGGGGGGTACGGAGCGGGGGCGGTGGACTGACTGGAGGGGTGTGGTTGTTATTTGCGCAGTGCCGCTTCAATTTATAGCCCGGGGGACACAGTGGTCAGGCCGGGTCAGGCGGGGGACGATCCTCACGCTGGGGGGTCAGAGGTCACCAGGAGACCATCCACCCCCCCTTGCTCGGACGAATAATAAAAATAGCTCATCAGTTCCTGATTGAAAACACGAGAAAAAGAAAGAAATATATAGTCCGATTCTGAAGTCTAAATTTCTTGTAATCGTTATCTTTTTGTCTTGGGCGCGGGCCGATGCCGAACAAAGGTCTGGGTGACCGCCGTCCAGGTGCTGTTACACCTCCCCCTCCCCCGCCCACTCCCCCGCTCCCGTTCCCAAGGGGCGCCCCCGGCCGCACTGCCCGCCTGCCTGGCCCAGTTCACACTCCGACGCGTGTGGTCAGTGGGTCTGGGTGCCTTTGCCTTCGGGTCTGGGTGCGTCTGGGTCTGGGTATGCATCTGGAGGTCCGGGCGTTCCTTCGTAATCTCTGGGGGTTCGACAGTTATAGGCCGACACGGTAGCGTGCACTTTCGGTATCCAGTTTACGATGTTTTGCGATGCGGTTGCTGCTGCTGCGAGGCGAACAATATAATGTGCATATTATGCGGAAAGGGAAAGGGAGGAGGGGGCGGGGGAGGAGGAGAAGGAGCGGGCCTTGCCGCCGCAGGTCATCCTCTGACCCAGGCGCCTCCCTTCCTCCACAGTCTTCTTTCCCCGCCCATCGCAATGCGATACCGATCAGTTTGGACCCTGCCGTCGCCTGCGAGCAGAAGAGTTACCGTGACGTTGAGTTACGTAGGCAGGGCGAAAATAACGAAAAAGGAAACAACACCGTATAAGAACATCGGCTGTAAACGAGTCCCGAGCATCCTCGTTCCCCTGGTTTTACCTATTGATTTTGCCATTGATAAAATAAAAAAACAAACATTAGAGATGATTACGGACCCATTTGGTTTGCGTGCGCTGTATATCCAATATCGCTCGGTCTGCGAGGAAACGTAATTCACGGGTTCGTGTTGAGTCCTACACTTAACACCATTCCATCCTTTTTCTTTTCCCGAATCCCGATTTTATTTTTTGTTGCTTTTTTATACGTGAAAAACTTTAAAATTATTGCACCTGCTGCAAGGTAGCGGTGGCGGTACCCCATGCCTTTTCTTTGTCCTCCTGGAGGTTGGGTGAGGAGTGCCTCTCGGTGCACTTGTCCGCCTCGCTCGCTCCCGGGTCGCCACCACAGCATGCCGACGCGTGAATGTATGGCATGGATGGGGGAGCAAGGGCGGCACGCGAGTTCAAGCGCTTAAGTGCCGTTCAAAAAGTTGGCGCCCGCGCCGAGGCAGAGCCCACCACGCCCCGCCAGCCTTGCGTCACCACGGGCACCACCAGTGTTTGGGCGCGACGCCCTCCCGACGGCTGCGGGCTGGCCAACCTCTTTGGCTGGGTCTCTTTTGGCCTCTGGCGACAATGACATGGTCTCTTTCTCTCTCTCGCTCTCTCTCGCTCTCTCTCGCTCACCCTAACCCGCCCACACCTGCCGCTCGAAGCAGCACCATCCAAACCCAACTGCAAGCCTTCTCCTCGCTCACAGTAATGGCTCAAGGTCGTTTCGTCCGATGAGGCCGTTAAGGGCTGAGGGCTCATCGCCTGCCCTCGGGGCACCGTCTTTCTTTCGGCACGGGTCGGCTTGACTAACGACCGGTTCGCGTTAAAAAAATACATTAAAAAATAAACGCCGATCATTGGGCATAACGGCATATCGCAGCGAGTTAATATTTTATTTATGCTTAAGATGAACTGTGCATCCATGCATATGCCTGATACGGGTCTTCTAATCGCCGCCGCGTATTCGCATATCGGTATTGTTGCATGAATCTCTCTGTGTATGTGTGTGTGTCGACATTAATAAGACGTTGACAGTCGCGGCCACTTCCATTCTCGATTCGCTTCGATGTCTCGAGTCTCGACCCTTCGCCTCGCCCTTCGCCTGCTTGACTTACTCTGCTGCCCTCCAGCCGCTCTGTGCTGTGCTTGTGCTCATGCACTGTGCTTTGCTTCGTTTTTGTTTTTTTAACTTAACGGGGGGCAATGTCGGGAGGCACCCCGATCGAAAGTGGGAGAGAGAGAGAGAGAGAGAGAGAGAGAGAGAG